ACAGCTCATTCTTAAGTGCTTGTGCCCGGCAGTGCTGGCTCCAGGTGAATATACATACAGCTCACTCTCAAGTGCTTGTGCCTGCTCAGAGACCTGCCCTAGAACAGCACTTCTCACTCACACTCAACGCTCACACAGTTATACCAGTCACCTAGACACCAAGCGCTCAAGTAAAGGCCACTGCAGCTGAGTCTACATGGCACACAGACTAATAAGGTCTCAGATACCCTGTAATGGGACAATGAATTGTAATGCCTAATGACTTGGAGAGTCTAACATTATTCTGTCAGGCAGACTAGCGTAGAAGCCTGGACTATCACTTAGTAACAGAGCACTTGCCTAGTAGAAATAAGGCTCTGGGTTCCAGCCCCAGCACCACAGAAGAAAAAGAAAAATAGAGAAGCTTTGCATGGGTGAGAACTGCATTGTGTGCGTATAGTTGGGACCCACTGGGTGAGACATCTGATAACCGCCAGCGCTCCATGCTGACACCTGCCTAACTCTGAGGCCTTCTGGGGAGCACATATCTATACGGTGAAGTGACGTGAAAATAGCACAGGCTCAGAGCACATAAATGCAGTGTCAGAACAACTTGGACTTGAGCCAAAAAGAGCTGGGCCACAGAGTTTTAACCATGTTTTTATGGGTGTAGCTCAGTAGTAGAGTGCCTGACTAACATGCATGAGGCCCTGAGTTCAATCTCCAGCACCAAGGGGAAAAAGAAGTTTTTACAGCGCCATTACCAGTACATTCAAGGGAAAGGACAAAGGACAACATGTGAGCCAGGCAGCAGGACATGTGTAGCCTTCTCCCCCTCAGAATCCACAGAACGCAACACAAAGCCCTGAGTGAGCAGGCCACTGCCGGAATGGCCAGGGTGACTGTTACAGAGACAGCGCCAACGCAGCTGTCCAGATCCATTACCTCCGCCTGCTGAGGACTGGACACCCCTAGCAAGCGGCACTACAACCCAAGGCCGTCTGCCTAATACCTAAAGTATACAAGACAGCCGAAGACAGCCCCCAGTCCCTCATATTATCACCACAGCACATACCTTGTGCGTCTACATGCACAAATCCCAGAAGGAGGCTGCTCTGACTTCCAGGGCACCGCTACCTCCCAAACTTCTGAGTGTGGTGAGGAATAAAATGGGAAAAGCTAATGGCAAACTCAGGCGAAAGTGAGATAGGACCTTGAGGTACTAGAAAATGAACCCAAACGGTTCTCTAAAGCTTTGTTCCCCCCCCCCCCCTCCATTCAGGGTCACACAGATCCAGATAAAACTAACCAGTAATAAAGTCAAGTTCCAACAGGATCCATCCAAGAATGGCCATGACGCCCAGGGCAAACATTAGTTTTACTACTCAATAGCTTTATGGATTAGGGCAAGCTGACCCAGAACTATGTGGGTGCCCAATCCCAGCAGAACCTGTCCTCAGCCCCCATCTAAGGGCAGGTCCTGAGTTCCAGCCTGACTCATCAACTGGTCAGATTGATGAACACACCTGGCCAGCCATCTGCTGTGGAGCCTGTGTGTTCCCTGGATCAGAGCAAGATGTGGTGATCATGGAGGTCAGGGCCCACTACCTGAAAATCCCAAAGATTCTAAAACAAACACGAACTCTTGGTTCTTCTTTAAATCTGAAATAAACCTGTGTTTGAGAGGTATTTACCTAGAAGTGATCAAAAGATGATCTAATTTAGGATCCAGAAATGATCTAATTTAAGCACAATACCTTTAGAAGACAAAAGCAACTGAACACCATCAGCACTGATTAAACAACACTGATTTCCCCATGTCAAATGGTAACATCTTAGAGACTTTTGGGAGCTGGTCCTGAGGGGCTTGACCTCTGGGACTGGCACTGTCCTTGAGCTCTTTTGCTCAAGGCTAGTACTCTACTACTTGAGTGACAGCACCACTCCAGCTTTTTCTGTGACTTAATTGAAGAGTCACAGACTTTCCTGCCCAGGCTGACTATGAACCACGATCCTCAGATCTCAGCCTCCTGAGCAGCTAGGATTGCAGGCATGAGCCACAGGCACTTGGCTAAGATATTTAGTAGCAAGTTCCTGTTTCTACTTTAAGAGGAAGGGAGGAAACTAAGGAGGGAGGGAGACTGATTATTGTTGGTTCTAAACAAAGGCCTGAGACCACTGCCAGATCTGTGTTCCCCTTTCATAATTTCTCAGTTCTATCTACCTAGGCAGAGTTTCCCTTCTGTTTTTTGGCCTGATTCTTGATGTGGGCACATAGCAGAGAATTCAATTCAACTTTCCAATAATAAGAACTCAAAAGGAATTCAGTACAACTCTTAGGGACTTGCTTCTCTATTTCTAGAGTCGTTATTTAACGCTAACCTGATAATCATGACACTCTCCACCCATCATCTCCTGTCTTCACTCTCAAGGCAGAAATAGCAGAAATGATTGTTCAACTTCAGGCATATGTGATCCTTGTCAGCTGTCAGTCTGGGAGAGGAAGGGCTTCTGCAGGCCTAAATTCATCTTTCCTCTACACAATTTACACAGCCTTGCAGCTGGCTGAGAGCAAAGGTTAAAAGCTCCAGACTTCCCCAAGGAGGCTGCGAAGAGCTGGAGAAGAACTGCTAGATTGCCTTAGGGAGGAGATGGGACAAGTGAGTCACACAGGGGGGAACTGGGGACCTAGTGGCACTTTTGTTTGCTGGGAGGAAGGTGATTTAGTTGCAAAAAGCCTAGTGATATCACATGCCTTTTGTTTATAAACAAATGAGAGTATTTCTTGTCTCCTTTTCTTTGGAGACTGGTACAGCCCAAAAGGTCTGGGAACTTGCTAAGTAGCCAATAAACGCTAGCAATCTTCCAACCTCAGCCTCAGTAGTGCTGGGATGCTAGGGTTATACCATCACACACCTGGCTATCCAGTTTCTTTCATTTTTTTAAAGAACAAAAAACTGCCGGCGCCAGTGACTCATGCCTTTAATCCTAGCTACTCAGGAGGCTGAGATCTGGTTCAAAGCCAGCCCAGGCAAGAAAGTCTTCAACTTTTATTTCCAATTAGCCACCAGAAAATCAGAAGCAGAGCCATGGCTCAAAGGGACAGAGTTATAGCCTTGGAGCTCAGGTTCAGAGCCCAGGCCTGAGTTCAGTCCCCACATTTGACAAGAAAAAAAGAAGGGAGAATAAAAAACCCAAAGACTTGAGGGGCATGGTTCAAATGGCAGAGTGACTGCACAGTAAGCGTGAGGCCCTGAGTTCAAAGCTCACTGTGGTTTAAAAAAAAAAAGGAATGAAACTCCAAAATGATTGAAAAGTCGCTGTATCAAGAGCAGGACACAGAAGTCATTAACGGGGCCTTGGTGTTCTCTCCACACCTTGCAAAGTCAAGATTTGAGTTCCTCGTAACTTTGTGACTTGGATCACTTGTAATCCATTTTCAATAGATTCTCACTGGACTGGAAAGGCAAATGGGACGTCGAAAATGGCCCTGGCCTCACAGCAGCCGAGGCCCTCACTTTCAATTTCCAATTCTATTTATAATGCAGCAGGGAGGGGGTAGCTAATGACTTACAGTCATTGTATTTGCTAGATTACCAGGGAATTATCAGAGTAATCTTAAGGTCTTAATGAAGCCTGCTTAATTTCCTGGAGAGAGACCAGAGGATCCGCATTGAGGAAAATAAACTCAAGTGCCTTGTCCTGTTCACCACCTCCAGGAAGGAAGAAGCGGGGTCACCAAGGCACTACAGAGTGCCAAGTGACACGAGAGACAACTTTACCTCCCCTAGTAACTTAAGGGAAGCTGAGAATAACCCCATAGATTTCCAGACTTCCTCTCTAGTGAAGAATGCACCCAGCCGTACACTGTCAAGAGGCCTGGGAAGGAAGGCTTAGAAGATCCCAATGGTGACAAGATCGCCACAACTTCCAAAGCATAGCTGTAGTTGACCAAGGCACCCACCCACTAGGCAGGACCTGGACACTGGCCTTGAGGAAGGAACTTCATGAATTTCCTCTCTACCACATACCATCAAGTATAGGTGGTAGAGGCCGAAAATGGATGTCAGACAAAATAATAACCAGAGATCTTTACCTTTAATAGAAATAAACTCTGGAATTTGGCTCAGGTCTCTTCTGGAGCTTTTAGGACTATTGGCAGAACATAAACTGAAAATTAAGCCAGTTCCCAGGGCTTCTGAAAGCCTTGACTTTAAGTATTACTTTTGAAGATAACTTAAAACCTAGTTGAGGTCAGATAAGATTTGGTCAGGAATCACCCCTGAGGGGAGAAGGGGTGCCAGAATCAGTCTTGAGACTTAGATATACCCAAACAGTAATTCAAAGAACTCACCGAGGGTTTGGACACAGCCATTTTATTTTCCTGTTTCCACAGGGAACTAAAACCAGCTGTCAACTAGACCAAAGAGGGGAATTATAATGCCTCTGCCTAAGTATGAACAACAAATTATAATCCCAAAGATTTCAGTCACTGTGATGACAGTCAAGTGGTGCCAAAGGACTGAAGTCCACAGAGATTTCAGAGCGTTTCCTAGATAGCAGCCATTTTATCAGACTTCAGGACCAAAGGATACTGATTCACAATGGCAAACAGCTACGGTTAGTGAGTAAGCAAGATGAGTAACTGAAGGAACACTTGACAGGGCCTACATGCCCCTAATGAAGAGCAACAGGGGTGAATTATGCTGTTATGCTTTTTAACTCTACCTCAAACTGGCATCGAACTCTCAATACGTGTACCACCATTGCCTCCCAAGTGGTAAAATTACAGGTATGTCACCTAGCCCAACTTGTTCTGTTTTCTTTCTCATTCTGTTCTGTTTCTATGGTACTTGCACATGTATTGTACCCCTTTATTGTTTTTCTTGAACTGCTGGTTTCAGGGTATATAAATTTTACAGTAAATATTTCTAAGAGCTGTCAGACATCCAAAGTTTCAAGTTCTATAAGCAGCCAAGCAGATGGTTGAAGCCAGAAAGCTCATTAGTAAACCCTCTCACCTGGACTGTGGGACTGTCTTATCCACAAACAGGAAGATTGCCTTCTCGGAAGGAAGCTGGATCCTTTTCCTGATGATCCACATGAACTGAGCCACAGTGATGTCAGACGGAACCAAGTACTTCCGCTTGTCAATGTCAACAATCTGAGAGCCTGAGACTTTTTCCACAATCACCTGGGAAAGTAAAGAGAGTTCAGGGGCTCAGTGGGGAAGCACTACTCTAGCAAGCACAGGACCTACATAAGATCCTTAGCATGGCAAAAAGTATCTTAAAAGAGATAGAGGCCAGGCAATGGTGGATCATGCCTATAATCCTATCTACTCAAGAGGCAGAGAACTGAGGATCACAGTTCAAACCCAGAGACACTTATCTCCAATTAACCACCAGAAAACAGGAAGTAGCCCTGGCTCAAAAGTGGTAGAGCACTAACCTAGAGCAAAAGACCTCAGGGATAGCACCCAGGCCCTGAGTTCAAGCCCCATGACAGACCAAAAAAAAAAAAAAAAAGAGGGGGTGGGAGACCAAAGAGAGGAGAGACAGAATCAGGATTCTATTTTTTTTTTTTTTTTTGGGTCCGGTAGTGGGCCTGAACTCTGGGCCTGGGCACTGTCCCTCAGCTCTTCAGCTCAAGGCTAGCGTTCTACCACCTGAATGAACCACAGAGCCACTTCCGGCTTTTTTCTTTTTGCTTATGTGGTGCTGGGGAATCGAACCCAGGGCCTCATGCATGCAAGGCAAGCGCTCTACCACTGAGCCACCTTCCCAGCCCCCAGGATTGGATTTTCTAAAGGGAGGCTCCCGCCTCACTGTCAGGAGGTAATGAGCAGTGTGGGCAAGGAGCTGAGTGGGAAACTGCAAAGCAGCATGAGAAAATATGCCCAAGGCTTAACTCACACACTCTGGAGGCTAAGAATTGATATAAATGTGTCATAGGGAAACGGTAAGTGCTTTTTTGTGGTCAATTATACCTCTCATCCGATCTCAGCAAGTATAAGAGAAACACAGTTGCTAAGCTTTTCAATATATAATCTGGGCCAACACAATATCTGATAGTATTCAGGTGCCAGTAGCTCACTTCTGTACTCCTAGCTACTCAGGAGACTGAGACCTGAAAATCCCAGTTCAGGGTCAGCCTGGACAGAAAAACCTAAGACTATCTCTAATCAACCAGCAAGAAGTCAGAATGAAGGTGTAGCTCAATTGGCAGAACACGAGTCTTGAGAAAAAAGCAAGAGCAGGAGGCTATAAGTTTAAACTGTAGTACTTACCCAAAAGAAAAAAGATCTGGTGAGGACTTAGTTTATAGCCTGTTACTCCAGCACCCAGAATGTATCCACATTACTGGATAAATAAGTTCCCAAGGAACACAAGAAACAAGAATGGCTGAGCAAGCACTGGTGGCTCATGCCTATAATCCTAGCTACTCATGAGGCTGAGATCTGAGGATCCCAATTCAAAGCCAGACCAGGTAGGAAATTGTGTAAGACTTATCTCCAATTAACCACCAGAAAGCCAAAAGTGGCTCTGTGGCTCAAAGTAGTAGAATACCAGCCTTGAGCAAAAAAGCTCAGGGATAGCGCCCAAGGCCCTGAATTCAAGCCCCAGGACAGAAAAAATAAAAAATAACATAAAAGGATGGCTGGATCAATGGATATGCCCTAGCATGCCCAGCACCCAAAACACCAGATCTTCACATTTGGGCCTGTTGCTTCTCTGTAAAGGGGTTGTGAATTTGTCAATCTAACTTTCTCCCCAAAGGCATTGTTTACGAGAAAACATCACCAAGGAAAGACCTTCAAAAATGCATAAGGCTCACAGGAACTATCTCCACTACCAGACAGAAAACATTACTTGTCTACTGCCAGAGAAAGAACCTTTTTGGATCTTTTGGTTAAGCAAGATGACAGTCTCAAGGTGAAGAAAAGTTACAAGATAGAGGCTCCCGATTTTAAAAGATGTCCTGAGACTAAAGTACCACTTCCAAGACCCAAGTGACACTTCTCCTCCACCAGCGTTCCCAAAAGTGGCAGCGACTAGTCGCCCTGTCCTAGAACTTCTTTCTTACATAATTGGCTAGGGAGCCGACAGCTTACTGGCCTAGATCGGGGTATTCAGCACTGAGGCACCTGAACAGCACCAGGCAAGACCCTCAGGCCGCGGGTCCCCGGCCTCGACGGGCCCCGACGCGGACTGGCCGGTCACTAGCGAGGGCTGGAACCTCCACTTTCCAACTGTTGAGCGGCCGGGAGGCCGGCGGCGGCTCCGACTCCGGGGGTGCCAGTGGGGCGAGGGGGCGGGGAGTTCCGACACTCACCGGAACGCGGTCGGGGTACTTCGCTCGGATTTTCGCAGATTCCACGCATCTGTGTTCTAAGAGAGAGACACGGGGGGGGGCTGTGCGGCGTCCGCCCGCCGGCGGGCTCCGGGTCCCCGGGCGTCCTCCGCCCTCCTCCCCCTCCACGACCTGCGCACGCCCGCGCTCCCGTCCCGGTATCCCCGCGGCCGCGCTCCTCAGGCCCCGGGCTCCCCGGAGGCCCCCGATGGCAGCAGCGGGTCGGGGCGCCGCCGCCCAGCCGGGCGGCCCCGCGGCGACCCAGGCCCCGGCCCCGCACCCGCCCCGCCCGACTGGGCCCCGGGGCGGCCCGGGTGGGGGAGGGGGCCGGCCGAGCTCCGGCCCCCGGCCCGGCTGGCGGCCGCGCACGTACCCAGGGAGTGGTCCTCCTTGAACATCCACTTCATGGCGGCGGCGGGGAGGGGGCAGAGCCGGCTCTCGGAGCCGCGGAGTCCGGCGAACCGACCACAACAACAACGACGGCGGAGGCGGCGGCGACAGCGACTACACGGCAGGCGGGACTTCCGGCTGCTGAAGCTTAGCAACCGGCCGGGGGCGTGGCTTCCGGCGCCGTTTGCTGTGACGTAGAGCAGGGGCGGGCCCTCACGCGAAGGGGCGGGGCTTGAGAGGGGTCCCGGGAGGGTCTCGGGGAAACCCAGGCGGTGCGGTCGGGGTGTACGCGGGGTGGGTGCCAGCGACCGGAGGAAGCGTTGCGGAGCCGCCGACGGGAGTGGGGTTTCGGGGTTGTGGGTGGAGGGTAGGGTGCGATTGCCAGCACACTTACTGAGGCGCTTCGTGGGGCAGTGTGCAAAGGATGTTTGAGGGCTTGAGAAACCTCTCGCGGCTGGCTAGGTAAGGAGAGCGCTGGGGATGTCGGCGATTTGGGGGACCCGGTTTGACGTGGTCACTGATGACGAGCGGGTCCGGTATTGAAGTCAGCCACCGTACGTTCCCGTGGACCTGAAACAATTGATTCTAACGCCATTTTCTCCCTTTATTTGTAAGCAAATGTTAAGATACACATTTAAGAGAAAGTACAACAAATCTGGGGCTTGCCTCACCTTAGAGCGGAGACCCCGCGTCCGGAGATCGGAAGAGGCGCGGTGCAGGTTAGCCGGGCGGCTCGGCGGGGCCGGCGTCCAGGATTGCCAGTGGGCGTGACCCAGCAATCCCCTCGGGCTGCCGGCCTGAGTCACCCGCCGAGACACGTGCCCGGAGATTCTTGGAGCCGTGTTGGGCAAGTCCTCGGGAAGTCTGGCTGTGTCACCATCTGTCTCTGAGCCGGTGAGCACGTAATTAGAATATTCACATAATTGGGCACATGATCACCTGGCACGTGCTTGTGTTGTGATGCACCCGTCAGGCCTGTGTGTCGGAACGTAGTCATTCATTATCTCCTGTGGTTGTAATTCCTGAAGGATGCTGTGGAATCTAGCTTCGTTCTGAAAATGTTTTTGTTGTCTCCAGATTTGTGTTGAGTCGGTTGGTTGGGAGGTGTGGGTGAGAATGTTGAAAGGACTGACATTGATTAAGACCCATTGAATTCACACAGTGCTTTGTTAAATGACAACTCTTTTATACACTAAAGATAATAAAAATATTTTTAAAAGATTGTGTGTCTCGGCAACCAAGATAAGTTGTCTTTAATGAGATGAAAAAAATCCTTTGAGGGGGCTGGGAAGGTGGCTCAGTGGTAGAGCGCTTGCCTTGCATGCATGAGGCCCTGGGTTCGATTCCCTAGCACCACATAAGCAAAAAGAAAAGAAGCCGGAAGTGGCGCTGTGGCTCAAGTGGTAGAGCGCTAGCCTTGAGCTGAAGAGCTGAGGGACAGCTCCCAGGCCCAGAGTTCAAGCCCCTATGACCAGACCCCCCCAAAAAAAAAATCCTTTGAAATTCAATTTAGAAATTGGTGGTGTTGCATGGCAATAACATTTCATAGTGAATTAAAAGTTGGAATGAAGGATGAGTGTAGCCCAGCTGTAGGATGTTTGCCTAGTATATATGCAAGACCCTGGTTCAGACTCCAGCACAAGAAAGAAAGGAAGAGAAGGGGAAAGAAGAAGGGAGAAAAGAAGGGAGAGAGGGAGGAAGTGAGCAGAGAAGGGAGGGAGGAAATGAATTAGAGTCCCCTTTTACAGAACTGTGTTGTCCTAGTCCAAAAGAGCGCCTCACTTACAACATAGGTGAGGCAGGTTAGTTATAAAGAAGAAATGCTGAAACCATCCCTGTCTCCCAGTCATGAATTAGGAGACACCCAGGGGTTCTTTTCTCCTCTCTCTGTACTCCCTTTTTAAGATTAAAAGGGGACCAATGTTCTTTAGGGAGAGAAATGTGGCAGGAGAGGAGACAGGTAAGGATTTATTATATTCTTTATTATATATTCTTTTTAATGACTATAAGAAGGGTGTTGAAAATAAAGTAGTTAAGCTTCCTTTCATTCTAATGCTCTTAAGTTACAATATATGGGGGTTAGCATTCTCCTTTGAAATGGTAAAAACTCAGCAAGATTCAAATATAAGTTTCTTCTAGCCCTCACTGGTGGTTCATGCCTATAATTCTAGCTTTCAGAAGGATGAACTGAGGACTGAGGTTAAAAGCTAGCCCAAGTAAAAGCCAGAAATGGAGCTATGGTTCAAGTAGTAGGGGGCTAACCTTGAGCAGATAAAAAGCTAAAGGATAGTGCCCAGGCCCTGAGTTTAAGCCCCAAGACCAGCACAAAAAGAGGGAGAGGAATTATTACTACTTAGCACAAACCTCACACTATCTCTTTTCTTTTGGGGGGGGGGGTCTGGTCGTGGGGCCTGAACTCTGGGCCTGGGCATTGTCCCTCAGCTCTTCAGCTCAAGGCTAGTACTCTACCACTTGAGCCATAGCACCACTTCCAGCTTTTTTTCTTTTTGCTTATGTGGTGCTGAGGAATCGAACCCAGGGCCTTGCATGCAAGGCAAGTACTCTACCACTGAGCCACCTTCCCAGCCCTCACACTATCTCTTGACACAAGAATGTGATGCTTGCTGGGCACTGGTGGCTCATGCCAATAATTCTAGCTACACAGGGAGCTGAGATCAGAGGATCACGGTTCAAAGCCAGCCTGGGCAGGAAAGCCCTTGAGAATCTTATCTTTAATTGATCACTGAAAAAGCCAGAAGTGACGCTGTTGCTAAAAGGGGTAGAGCACTAGCCCTGAGTAAAAGAGCTCAGAGACAGCATCCAGGATCCGAGTTCAAGCCCCACCCCTCTCTCTAAAAATTTTTTTTAATTAAAAAAAATATATATATAATGATCCTTTAGCATCTTTTCAGTGAAGAAAGCTCTGGATAAAATAATAAATCCACACCTGCCTCCATGGGACACACCTATAATCCCAAGAGGGGCAAAATTGCCATTTCCTCATCTTGCCTCAAAATCTGCATTTGAACTATTGGTTTAGCAGGAAGAAGCACTTCTGTAAAGGGATCAGTTAATGTCATCTCGGGAAAGGCACCTGGCTTTTCACCCAAACTGCAAAGGTGTTGTGAGTGTTTGGAGTTCTGTGTGAACCACCCTGGGGGTTCATAACTGACCTTAGGCAGAGTTTCCGTTTGTTTTTGTTTCTTTGAATTCAGGGCTAGAGCTCCAGCTTGGTTTTATTCACTCATGGCTGGTGCTGTACCACTTGAGCCACAACTCCACTTCTCTGACTCTTTTCTGGTGTTTGAGGATAAGAGTTTCATGAACTTTCCTGCCTGGGCTGGCTTCGAACCGTGATCCTCAGATCTCAGCGTCCTGAGTAGCTAGGAGTGCAGGCGTGAGCCATCGAGGCAGGGATAGAGGAAACTTTTAGACAAATCTTTTACACACTTAACCTGTGGACAGAGGTCATTGAACGGAAACATTCTCTTCTGCACACACAAAGTAACAGGGGAAACCTTTTTTCTGCCGAGGTCTATTTGCATATTACAACATCAATCTCGTGTCGCACAGAATTAATCAACACAAGCAGAAAGGGCCTGAGATGCTCCAGAAGCCTCCAAGTCTGACTTGGTGGGTGGGGGAGGCTTCTGAGGTCGGCTGGACAGAAGTCCCCCCCCCAGACCTGTGGATAAAGTGAGCTCGCTCTGGCCCCGCCCCCTCCCCTTAGCCCCACCTCCCCCGACGCCGTGCGTCCTTCCTATTGGTTCCTTTTCCGCGCCGTCGGTTGCCGTGGAGACCAGAGCGATGGCAACCTGCAGGAACCAAACTTGGTAATCCTGCCGCCCCAGGCTTCGCGCTGGGGGTCCGCAACGTGGAACCCGGCTACGTGTGGTGGCCCATGGCGCTCTACGAGATCTTCTCTCACCCGATCGAGCGCAGCTACCGCGCGGGGCTCTGCTCCAAGGCCGCGCTGTTCCTGCTGCTGGCCACCGCGCTCACCTACATCCCGCCGCTGTTGGTGGCCTTCCGGAGCCACGGTGAGCGCGCCCGGGGCCGGCCCACCCCGGCCGCCCGCGGCCCGCACGCCCCGGCCGGCCCTCCTGACCCCCTCCTTGTGTCACGCAGGCCTGTGGCTGAAGCGGAGCAGCTACGAGGAGCAGCCGGCCGTGCGCTTCCAGCACCAGGTGCTGCTCGTGGCCCTGCTGGGGCCCGAGCCCGGAGGCTTCCTGGCCTGGAGCACGTTCCCCGCCTTCAACCGGCTGCAGGGGGACCACCTTCGCATCCCGCTCGTGTCGGTGCGTGGCTCCCGCCTGGGCCCCCCGGAACCGGGCAGGGGTGGCATGGGCGGGGGGCGGGCTGCCGGGGACCCCTAGATCTGCAGGGCTCGCCAGCCACCGAGGACGTGTGCGCCTGCGCTGGGCCTGCAGGTGAGTGGCCACCCTGCAGACCTGCCGTTTCATTCGGCTGCTCCCCAGATGCCCACGCCGCCCCTGGAGTCAGCCCTGCTGTCCCCCACCTCCCCGGGCGCCCTGCCCAGGTCAGAAGTGTGGGACAGCCTGGCTGGGCCCGGGCGTTCCCGGGTGTGGCGGGGTGGAAGTCCCCTTAGAAGCGCTTTAGGCCCGGCGCGGCTTTGGGAAGCCCGGGCTCCGGGCCTCGGGTCGCTGGGTAGGACGGGCCTGTCTATGCAGATGACCCGCCGAAGCCAGGCCGCGGATTGGTTAAGGCTCTGCTTGTGCCCTGACCAAGCCACGCCTTTCTGGGCGTGCAGCACTTGCCCTTAAACTCCTTTTCTGAAAACATTTTCCTTTACAAGTGTGACATGTCTGTTTCTCCTTTTTGCAAAGTTGAATTTCTTTGGACACCTCAGAGAGGTTCGGCTTACAAGACAAACTTGTGTTGTGCGTGTGTGTGTGTTTGTAGGGAATTCACACTTTTTTTCCTCTAAAGGTTTAGAATGTTTACAAGGCTTATTGGTTGTGCGAATAACAAGAAAGATGATTCTGATTACTTTCCTCTGGTTGCTTGAATTTTTTTTTCTTTTTTATTCTGATTGCAAAAGTGTATGTTTATTAATGTCAAACATAGAGTTACAGGCTACATAATGACAAAATTAGACTTGGTACAAGTAATCAATACTTGTTAGTCAACCTTATTGGTTTTTGTTTGTTTTTAACATGCTATTTCCTTTCCCAAAATGCAAACAAACTTTGGGGATTAGGAGAACAGATCAAAAGAGTGCTTGCCTCTCATGTGCAAGGCTCTAGGTTCAATCTAAACATTAAAAAAAATTCCAAACAATTTTTTTTTTTTTTTTTGCCGGTCATGGGGCCTGAATTCTGGGTCTGGGCGCTGTCCCTCAGCTCTTCAGCTCAAGGCTAGCGCTCTACCAGTGGAGCCACACCGCCACTTCCGGCTTTTATGTGGTGCTGAGGAATCGAACCCAGGACCTCATGCTTGCAAGGCATGCACTCTACCGCTGAGCTACCTTCCCAGCCCTCCAAACAAAATTAACATGCTAGTTTTACTGAAAAATAGCAGTTTATGTCTTGAAGTTTTGGTAAAAGCTTTCTTTTTAACATCTTTATATTGCTCTATTTGTGTCTAAGAAATAATCATGAGAAAAGCTTAGAATAATCCCAGAAATAGAAGTAAAATTAGGTTTCCTTCAGTCTTTTTACTTGTGCATTCACCACTACTGGCTGGCCATGTGGCTTGAGAACCATCTACTGTCTCCTGTTTCTGATGTGCGGTTCAGACAGACTTTCAATAGAAGCTAAGACTGATTACATTTTTTGTCCTCTTATTTATACTTATTTCATATTTTATGCTGGATTTATTCCCATTTTTCATAGCTCTATGTGTGTGTGTGAGAGAGTGAGTGTGAGTGAATCCTAGGGCTTGAACTCAAGGCCTGTGCCTGAGCTTTTTTGCTCAAGACTGGCACTCTACCACATGAACCACAGCTGGCTATGAATGGTGATCCTCAGATCTCAGCCTCCTGAGTAGCTAGGATTACAAATGTGAGCCACCAGCACCTGGCCTGCCGTCGGATTTTGTTTATACACTTTGTTCTGTGATAGCTTTTTCTACTGTTTCTACTGTGCCATCTCCTCTTCTGGACTAGGAACGATTTGTTCCTGCTCAGTGAGGATCATTAGAGTGGCAGGCAGGGGGAGCTCAAGTGTGAACTAAAACCTAGGTAAGTTCTTTTGGTACAAGGTTTGTCTTGGGTGCTTTGTTTGACCAGAGATACAACATCTAACCCTGCCAGTTCAGCATTACTGTCTGCATGTTTAATTAAGTAGCTTATATTTCCATCACCCGTGTATGAGGGTCCTTTCTCCCCCAATTTCACCAGCGTTTGTTGTTGTTTGTGTTCTTGATGATGGGGCATGTGTACCTGTGTGCCTGTGTGTGTGTGTGTGTGTGTGTGTGTGTGTGTGTGTGTGTGTGTGTGTGTGTGTGTGTGTGTGTGTGTGGTGTGTGCTGGTCCTAGGTCTTGAACTCAGGTCCTGGATGCTGTCACTCAAGGCTAGCACTCTACCACTTGAGTTACAGCTCTCCTTCTGGGTGTTTTTGGCAGTTAATTGGAGATAAAGAGTCTCACAGAAATTCCTGCCCAGGCTGACTTTGAACTGCAATCCTCAGATCTGTCTCCTACATCGCTAGGATTACAGGGATGAGCTACCAGTGCCTGGCTGTTTTTGTTGTTTGGTTGTTGTAGACAGGGGATCTTGCTAAGTTGTCCAGGGTGGCTTCAAAATCAAGATCCTCCTGCCTCAACCTGTGGAGTGTCTAGGATACTGATGTGCATGGCCATGCCAGGCAAGATTTTTACATGTTAATGATAAATACTTTTAAAGGAAAAAAAAATAGTGACTGGCAGTATGAAGCAAAATCAAATAAAAAATAAATAAAAATTTAAAGTCAGGTAAGCATATAAAATGATGCAGTCACTTTAGAAAACAGTATAACAGCTTGATGTTAAACAGAGCCAGGTGTGGGGATACACACCTGTAATTCTAGTATTCAAGAGGCCAAGCCAGGAGAATGAGGCGTGTGAGACCAGCCTAGGCTGCATAGATTCTGTCTCTACAAGGAAAATAATTTTTTTTAAATCTTATTCATTTACCCTTAATCCTATTGCAGCAAAAAACTTGTCTATGTATTTATTCCTACTGGCACTGGGGCTTGAACTCAGAGCTTGGCTGTTGTCCCTTATTTTTTTCATTCAATGCTAGTGCTTTTACCACTTGAGCCACAGCTCCACTTCCAGCTTTTTGCTGGTTAATCACAGGTAAGAGTCTTACAGACTCCCTTTCCAAGGCTGGCTTTGAACTTTGATACTCTGCGTAGTTAGTATTACAGGCATGAGCCACAGATGCCTGGCTATTTTCTAACTCTGAACATAAACCCACACTCCTTTATCACATTTGAGAATCTGCCCAGAAATCCCAGAAACTGGGTTTTAGGTGAAGGTTTTACCATAGTATCAGGAAGTGGTTTTGCAGTTGGCAATTTTTGAAAAATATCTGTCTTGCTTCTGTTTTACTTACCTTGCACAGTGTTCCTAAAGTGCCTGTATTTTTTCTTTTTTCTTTTTGGGTCTGGTCGTGGGGCCTGAACTCTGGGCCTGGGCGCTGTCCCTCAGCTCTTCAGCTCAAGGCTAGCGCTCTACCACTTGAGCCACAGCGCCACTTCCAGCTTTTTTTTTTTCCTGCTTATGTGGTGCTGAGGAATCGAACCCAGGGCCTCATGCATGCAAGGCAAGCGCTCTACCACTGAGCTACCTTCCCAGCCCCTGTATTTTTTGTTATTTCATGTGTGTGTGTGTGTGTGTGTGGTGTGTGTTACTAGGTTATGAATTCAAGGACTTGCATTTGCTAGGCAGGCTCTCTACCACTTGAGTCACGTCCAACCATAAAAATCCATGCTTGCCATGCACTGGTGGCTCACGCCTGTCATCCTAGCTACTCAGGCTGACATCTGAGGATCATGGTTCAAAGCCAGTCCAGGCAGGAAAAGTCCGTGAAACTCCTAGCTCCAATAAACCACTCAGAAAACTGAAGTAGCACTGTGCTCAAGTGGTAGAGTGCTAGTCTTGAGCTGAAGAGCTGAGGGACAGCGCCCAGGCCCAGAGTTCAAGCCCCACAACCAACAACAAAAACAAAAAATCCCTATGTTTTCAATGCATTAAAGTATGTTGAGAAGAAAACTCAGAGAAGAAAAATCAGAGCAGCCTTTTCTGGGTGATGGTGGCGTGGGCTTATAATACTAGCTACTCGGGAGGCTGAGATCTGAGGATCCAGGTTTGAAGCCAGCCAGGGCAGGAAAGTTTGTGAAACTCATATGCAGTTAAGCAACAAAAAGCTGGAAGTAGATGTGTGTCTCAAGTACTAGAATGTCAGCCAAAAAAGCTCAGGGACAATGGCCCCAAGCCCTGTGTTCAAACCCCAATACCTGTACACACACACACACACACACACACACACACACACACACACACACACACACACACACTTGTTCCAATTGTTCCAAACTACACTTATATCTCAGAAGAATAAGATTACAGTATGATTCATGGCCAGGCACCAGTTAGATTTTAGGTACTGGCACAGAATTTGTGCTGAGGAAGTGTTATGTCTCTGAATCCCTGTTAACACGTTATGCTTACTTTAAACTGACTAGAAGTAAAGAATTGATTTCATCAGAGGCCCACGTGGCGGCACCAATGAGCAGTCATGGAAGATGCATCATTCCACCCTCACTCAAGCCCAAGGCTCGCCCTGCTCCCTCCCCTCCCTCTCCATGGGCTTCACCGCTCTGCCTGGCTGCCCTGGCCGCTGGGCACTGAGAACACAGCACCTTGGTTAGCCTAGGTCCCTCTTTCCTCAGACATTCCTGTGTCTCCTCCCGTCTTCATTCAGGTCATCAATGCATTAGATCATCCTGAAAACTTCCTGTAGACTTTTCTGTTTCCTTTCACCCTCATCATGCTCTAATTTTAGCCTGCTCCATTTTTCTTTGTGACACTTGGGCTTGCGTGATATTATTAAGTCTGTATTTGTTTGTGATTTATTTTCTACCCTTCTTAATGGAATTTTTTTAGTTCTGTTAGCACGGGGACTTTGTTTTGCTTACAAAACATTGTGTTTGGGGCTGGGAAGGTGGCTCAGTGGTAGAATGCTTGCCTTGCATGCATGAGGCCCTGGGTTCAATTCCTGAGCACCACATAAGCAGAAAAAACTGGAAGTGGTGCTGTGTCTCAAGTAGTAGAGCATTAGCCTTGAGCTCAAGAGCTGAGGGACAGCGCCCAGGCCCAGAATTCAGACCCCACGACCAGAAAAAAAAAAAAAAAATTGTGCTTTCAACATGTCAAACAGCTGCCTGGTATGGTAGCACCTCAAAAAGCCCTTGTAAGATTAATGGGTGAATGTGATGTATAGACAGCAACTGTGGTGCTGAGCCTTGGTTCTGGCCTATGTACATTTGAAAATATGCAGTGATCCAGACTTACTCTCTGGAGTGTGTGTGTGTGTGTGTGTGTGTGTGTGTGTGTGTGTGTGTGTGTGTGTGCGTGCGTGTGTGCGTGCGTGTATGCGCATGCAATTGTTCATGCTTGCTGGTCATGGAATTTGAACTCAGGGCTTTGACACTGTCCCTGGGCTTTTGTGCTCAAGGCTAGAGCTCTACCACTTGAGCCACATGCTCCACTCCCGGTTTTTCCATGGTTAATTGGAGATAAGAGTCTCACAGACTTTCCTGCCCAGGCTGGCTTGGAGTGAGAATCCTCAGGTCTCAGCCTCCTGAATAGGTAAGATCACAGGTGTGAGCCACCAGTACCCAGCTTCTGGGTTCAGTTTCTAACAATGCCCAAAAAGGGGGGGGGGCATGCAGGGACCAGGTACTGATGGCTCATACCTGTAACCCTTGCTACTCAGGAGGCTGAGATCTGAGGATTGCAGTTTGAAGCCAGACTAGGCAGAAAAGTCCATAAGACTTATCTCCAATTAACCACTCAGAAAAAGCCAGCAGTGGTGCTGTGGCTCAAGTGGTAGAGCGCCAAGTGGAACACAAAGAGGCTCAGGGACAAGCACCCACGCCCAGAGTTCCAGCCCCAGGTCCAGCAAAAAGGTAGTGGGGAAGAGAGGGACAGAAACCTCTTTCTTTGGGTTTTGTAGACTAGAGAAGAAGACAGGAACCAGGATGGGAAAATGGACATGTTACATTTTAGACTGGAGCTTCCTCTGCAAGCCACAGAGAACGTTCTTGGTGTCCAGCTTATCTTGACCTTCTCCTACCAACTGCATGTGAGTCCGCCCTTAGCGCCGGTCCCTTCCCCTTTCGGCTTTTAACGGAACACAGCCCTCCTTCTAATTCCTAGGAAGAACCAAACTGTAACTCTGCTCTTTCCTAGGTGGGGAGGAAAGAATGTAAATAGGCAAACTGAATGTTTTCCACTGGGGTCGTATTTACTTCTATTTATATTTGTTATTGTATTTATTAGTTATTAATTTTAGTGATTTGTTTTTAATGAGTGAGGTGTTCATGGTTCAGAGGGTTCTGGGCAGGTTTCCCGCCTGCGGACCCAGGTGTGTCTGGATTCATCACTTTCAGCTGCAGAAAGGTGATTCTTGAACCCAGAGCCCTTCAGCGCTGATGTCGGTTGGTTTTGTCTCTCTCCTCCTAATGGTTTCAGAGGATGTCCACGTTCGTGATGCAGAGCATGGCCTTTCTCCAGTCCTCCTCTGCCATTCCTGGGTCCCAGTTACACGTGAACGGGGACCTCAGGTTACAGCAGAAGCAGCCTCTGAGTTACAGCGGCCTAGATGTCCGGTACAACGTAAGGATGCTCCTGACTGCCCGTCTCTTTTTCTGTGGGTTTTTAAAATCACATTCTTTGAAGAGGGAGAAATTAAAGTTAGAAATAGCATTTTCTCTGTGGAAGGAACTTCCTTGTCATAAATTCTTTCAAGATATGGAGGTGGTATACCTTTATTTATACCTAGAAAGAGAGACAGGAGAAAAGTCTTTCACTCTGTGTGTTTTGCTCGTTGCTTCAGTGGTTTTAGCCCATCGTGGCAGGGAGTGCAGGGAGGGGCAGTCACTTCCTGCTGGACTGGAAGTAGAGTAAATCACTAACAGGATGGGGCGAGGACAAGATAAAGTCCCCAGGGCTTACCCCAGTGACCTGTCTTCTCCAACCAAGGCTTACCTTCCAATAGTCTTTTCAATTTTTTTTTTCTTTTGTGCTAGTACTAGGGCTTGAACTTAGGGTCTGGGGACTGTACCTGAGCTTTTTCACTCAAGGCTGGTACTCTGCCATTTGAGCCACAGCTCTACTTCTGACTTTTTGGTGATTAATTGGAGGTAAGGGTCTGTGGAATTTTCTACCAGACTGGCCAGGAACCTCAATCCTCAGCTCTCAGCCTCCTCAATAGCTATGATTACAGACATGAGTTACTCAGTGCCCAGCTCTTTTCAGTTTTTAATTCATCAATGGATTAAACCATTCATTAGGTCAGCTCTGATCCTATTTGGTAATGCCCTCACAGACAGGCTCAGAAGTGTGCTTTACTAATCTACATGTGGATCAATTCAATGAAAATTAACTACCACATTTCCCAAATGATCATGTAAAATGTTCATATAAACACTAAAAGAAAAAATTAGCCAGCATTTATTGAACGAGTAGCATATGCCATCCCTGAGTTAAGGGGTTTACAGCTGGGTATGGAGGTGCACAACTCTATCCTAGCACTTGGGAGACTGAGATGGGAGGATCACTAGCCCAGGAATCACAGACTCTCGCCTGCACTGCAGCCTCTTTTGATTTTATCTTTTTTTTGGGGGGGGGGAGTGCAGGTGTTACTGTGTTTATACTATAGCTTTAAAAGCTGTGATAGGCGGACAATGACCTCTTGTTTCCATCCCCACAAAAGGAAAGACAGAGTAAAAGGATTCAAATGGTTGTACTGGAGTTTATTCATCCTTTTTTTTTTTTTTTTGGCGGGGGGGGGGGGGGGGGGGTCCGTTGTGGGGCCTGAACTCTGGGCCTGGGCGCTGTCCCTCAGCTCTTCAGCTCAAGGCTAGTGCTCTTCCACTGAGCCACCTTCCCAGCCCCAAGTTTATTCATCCTTGAAGAAAAGATTATTGATGGTGGAACAGGTCACCAAGAATAAGCGGATGTTCTCTGGGACCAGCTCAGGTGCGTGGGGCTGGGAGGGACACTGCCACCTCGTCCTCCTGCCCCCCCTCACAGGTGTCTGTGATCAATGGGACCAGCCCTTTCGCCCAGGACTATGACCTTACCCACATTGTGGCTGCTTATCAGGAAAGGAACGGTGAGTCACGGGCAGGCCAGGGGACCCATGGTGAAGGGAATTGCAGGTGTGGGGCAGTGGAAGCAGATAGAAATAGAACCTTTTCATAATTAAAAAAAAAATCTCAGCCATTGGAGAGTCAGTGGCAGGAAGAGCACAGGCTCCCCGGGGTTTGTGGATTTGGTCGTTGACTTCACACCCACCCCCGTGCCCACCCACCACCATGCTGGCATCCATTGTTGCCACCAGCCATACCTGTCCCACCACTGGCTTGGTAGCTTCCTTTTCTTTTTTTTCTTAATGTGTCTGTAAGCCTGATATATTCCCTATATCACACCTGTAAAAGAAGCCAAAGAAAATTTGCTATTCCCACTTTTCAAATAGAAATAGAGCTAGACTTGGTTGTTTAAGCCTATAATCCTAGCAACCTGAGAGATCAAGAGATCTGTAATTTGAGGTCAGATAGGACCAAAGGTGGTGGGGGCGGGGGGGGGGGGGGAGAGTTCTCAAGTGTCCGCACCTCTGGGTTCTCAGACACGAGGAAAGCACAGTGGCTGAGAATAATGACACATAGCTGTCATCCCAGTGATGTAGGGAAGCACAAATAGGAGGATCGCAGTCCAGGCCACCCAAGACCATAAAGCAAGACTCTGCCTTAGCCTGGGCACTGTCCCTGAACTTTTTCACTTAACACTAGTGCTCTACCATTTCAGCCACAGCTCTGTTTCTGACTTTTTTTTGGCACTTAATTGGAGATAAAGAGTCTCACAGACTTTCCTACCCAGGTTGGATCCTCAGATCTCAGTCTCCTGAGTAGCGAGGATTACAGCTGTGAACCACTGGACCCTGGCTTCCTTCCTTATCGATATACAGAATCTCTATACAGCTATTGTAGTGTTAGAAATGCTTTGGGATCCAAGTTGTTCTTATTTATTCAACTCTGTGATATGTTTCCACCTGACTGCTGCAAAGTTCTAATCCATATTATTTTCACTGGCACCTTAGTATGCATCCAGCAGTTCAGTAGTTGTAGAACACAGACCATTTGCAAGTCTTTGACATAGTATAACAAATATTTTAAATAATGTGTAAGAAACTCTCTTTCCTTTTAATGGTTTTCATTCTAAAGTGCAGAAGATCCCTTTAAGAATCAAAGGATATCTTTAGTCCCTAATATTAATGGGCTGGATCGATTGTTAATGCTTGTATTGCAGTTACCACTGTCCTGAATGACCCCAACCCCCTCTGGCTGGTGGGCAGAGCCGGCGAAGCTCCCTTCGTGATCAACGCTGTCATTCGCTACCCCGTGGAAGTCATTTCATATCCTTTCTGTTAGATAGCCAGTGATGGCTCAGTTTCCACAAAAAGAAGAAGGGAATCCTCAGCTATCCTGAGTAGGAACAGCTGTGGGATGCCAGCCTGAGACTGAAAATTGTTCCAGTCCTGGTGTCTGTCTGCTGTTCAGAAAAAAAAAAATTCATTTCCTGTTCACATTTCTCTCTGGGAAATTCTAGGTTAGAACCATCCATATCTATGCCTTAATAATCTTTGGTTATCCCTCTGATCTTAAGGATATTAGAAACTTCTTGCCATCTCCCATCTGACCTGAGCCTTAGTCTAACTTGCGTCCATGTCGGCTGTGCCTCCTTAACTGTCTGTACTTACCAACCAGGCTTCTGGGAGATGATCAAGTTTGCCTGGGTCCAGTATGTCAGCATCCTGCTAATCTTCCTCTGGGTGTTCGAAAGAATAAAAGTTTTTGTGTTTCAGAATCAAGTGGTCACCACAATTCCTGTGACATCAGTGTCCCAGGGAGAGGTGTACAAGCAGCACTTGTCCTAAGCAGACGGTCTCTAAACAACTCCTCGGGATTGTGCTACCTCATTGTCTTCTGCAAGCTGCCATCCTATGACACTTCTGAAAAGAGCCTACTGGACACCGTGTGTGTTTTCCCCTTCAGAGACAAATTCTAAGCACTGAAGAGACCATCAATTTGTGGGAAGGCCTGTGGGTTCCTTTGTGTATGTGCTGGTACTAGGGCTTGAACTTTAGGCCTGGGCACTGTCTGTGACATTTTTTGCTCAAGGCTAACACTCTACCACATGAGCCACAGTTCCACTTCCCGCTTTTGTTTTGGTGGTTAATTGGAGATAAGAGTCTCATGGGCTTTCCTGCTGGGGTTGACTTCAAACCACAATCTTTAGGTCTCAACCTTCTGAGTAGCTAGGATTATAGGCATGAGCCACTGGCACCTAGCTTCTAATTCACGTTTGTTTTTGTTCCTGCCTTATCCTAGAATTTCAGGAGAAAATTAGGTCAAGTTCGGACATCTTAGAATGAGTCCCATCTCTGGTCAGGCAAAGACTTTTCCTTTCTTTGAACCGAGCAGCACTGTTCAACTCTTCCCCCATTGTAGGCCACTCTACTGCTTTTCAGAGTTCTGGGATAAATATGCAAATCCCCAGTATGCCCCTCCCTGAGTGTCCACAATTCCCATTCAGAACTTTGATTTCCAGGATGGAGGCTTTTAACTGGAGAATTGGAAGGGGGCGTGACACTGGAGGGGGCTGGTCCCAAAAGCTTGTGTGGGGTGGGCAGGCAACCCTTAAGGAAAAGAGCACTGTATACCTGCCCTCCCACCTAATAGACATGTGCTGTCATCTGCTCAGCTGAACAGCCCTCTGTCCCTGCCCTACTCTGTCTGGCTCTTTGCCCTGCCTCTTGCCCTGTGTCTGTGCCCCTGGAACAGGAGAGTAGAGTCAGCAGTGCCGGTTCATTCCGTCTCCCCCACAGCAGTGGGGGACATAAGGCCTCTAACAACAGGTTCTTTCTCTCTGGCCCTCACCCAACAGTCTGGACCCTTGCCACTCCTCCTCCTTGACCGCCTTCCCCCTCCTGAAAGGATATGGGTGACAGAGGCCTTGTTGTTGGTATTGGCTCCCACTCCCTGACAACCACAGAGTTTATCTGGAGGGCTAGCCCGAAGCCCAGCTACTTGCATTTCCCTTGACTAAGGAACAGGGTGCCCAGCAGAGAGGCAGCTTTAAGGAGGACAAGAACCACAAGGAGGGAACGAAGAGGATTGCTAGCCAGAGCACCCAGCCTGGCCATTAGAATGACAGGCGGTGAGCCCAGATCTCCTCCTAACTAAGCAAGTGTCTGCAGACCAGATGGCTAGAATGGGCCTCTGTTCTCACAGAACACCAGCCCTGCAACGCTGTCTCGCTCTGAGTAAGCAGGCTGTCTCCTTGAAGGACAGATGTTTGGCCTCGTGATTCCTTCCCCTACCCCCATGTCCTTAGTACGAAAGTACATACCTAGCCCCTGCGAACCTATACGTCATACCCATCCACAAATACAGCCTTCAGTGTGTGCCTCAGTTTACCCAGGTAATTCTTATTTCCAAAGCACCTTTCTTTCCTACTGAACAAAATAAAAATTTTGGAAGCAAAGCTACTTGGAAGTACTCAAGCAGCAACAATAGTTCCTTTATCTTTTCTTTTAAGATTTAGAGCTGTCTGCCTTGAGTAGAAAAGCTAAGGGACAGTGGCAGGGACCTGAGTTCAAGTCCCAGTTACCAACACACACACAGACACACACAGATACAGATTTAGGCCTGTCTATATGCCTCATTTGTTTTTTATTCCTTAAGACTTAGATGAAAAAATAACCTATGGTGTGTTTTATAACTTTGTAATTAAAATGTCCAAAATGGAAGTGTGCCCGCTGCTTTTTAGAGGGAGAGGCTGGGAAGGGGGAGAGTGGAGAGGCCAGAGGTTGCACGTGTTTCTCCAAGTTCCTCACCAGCAGCCTGGCCCTGCCAAAGCTCTGGCCCAAAACCTTGGAGCTGTTGTTAGCTCTTTGGCAAACGTCCCCTAGTCCAGCCCCAAGTAAATGGGAGTTTTCAGTGGAATCCACATGGCAAGTGGAAGACACAGGCTGGAAAATTACAACTGTGTCTGGTGAATACCAAGTTATTTTCAGATCAAATGCTGGTAGCTTCTAAACCCGACTCACATAGCAGAGTGAGGAAAATGCAAGAGATTGAAAATGAGAAATACACAGGAGTCCAGTGACTGGGCTGTTACCCAGAACTAGTGAGAGTTGGAAGTCATTTCGAGGTATTGGAGGGAGGGCAGGGAGGACTGCTAATATCATCAGACGACCAGACTGTTGGAATCAAGTGAGGCCCCATTTAGTTTCCATTGCATAAGGTGAATAAAATTTCTGCTGGCCATCAATGGCTCACACCTGTAATCCTAGCTACTCCAGAGACAGATCTGAGGATTGTGGTTCAAAGCCAGAGCAGGGAAGGAAAATCTGTGAGACTCTTATCCTTAATTAACCACCAAAAAGCCAGACATGGAGCTGTGCCTCAAGTGGTAGAGTGCTAGTCAAGTGAAAAAGTTAAGGAAAATGCCCATGTCCTAAGTTCAAGCCCCAGTCCGACACACACACAATTTTATTTTTTCCATTCTTTTCTCTCTCTCCAGTCCTCTTCACATTTGCACATTTTGAAAGAGTTTTTGTATCTTTCTGATACAAAAGTAAAAGGTAAGTTGTAACTCCCTCCTGGGGAAAAACATGAATTGCACAAATGAAAGAAAGTAACAGTTGTAATAGGCACTGGTGACTCACACTTAGAATCCTAGCTACTCAGGAGGCTGAGATCTGAGAATCATGGTCCATAGCCAGCCCAGCCAGGGAAGCCCATGAGACTTTTTTTTTTTTTTGTCATGGGGCTTGAACTCAGAGACTGGGAGCTGTCTCTTGAATTCTTTTTTTTTTGGGGGGGGTCCGGTCGTGGGGCCTGAACTCTGGGCCTGGGCGCTGTCCCTCAGCTCTTCAGCTCAAGGCTAGCACTCTACCACTTGAGCCACAGCGCCACTTCCAGCTTTTTTTCTTTTTGCTTATGTGGTGCTGAGGAATCAAACCCAGGGCCTCATGTATGCATGGCAAGCGCTCTACCACTGAGCCACCTTTCCAGCCCCTCTTGAATTCTTTTTTTGCTCAAAGCTAGAGCTCTACCACTTGAGCCACAGCTCCACCAATGGTTTTTGAGTGGTTAATTGGACTTAAGAGTCTCACAGAGGCTTTTCTACCTGGCTGACTTTGAACCACAATCCTCAGATCCCAGCCTCCTAAGTAGTTAGGATTACAAGCATGAGCCACCAGTGCCTGGTCTGTGAGACTCTTATCTTCAGTAAACCACCAGAAAACCAGAAGTTTCACTGTGGCTCAAATGGTAAAGTGCTTAGCCTTGAGCAAAAGAGCTCAGGGACAGCACCCAAGCCATGAGTTCAAGCCCCACAACCAAAAAACAAAACTAGTTGTCTAAATCCATTATATGGATATTCTAGAACTTATCCTTGTAATCTTTTGTGCATTTCCTTTTTAGCTGTGAACTTTGAGTATAAAGCCTTATTGCTGGTTTATTTCTTTAAGATATCCTAGAAAGGAATTACTAATTTAAAAAGCATATGGCCATGAGATTGTTCTTGTTTTGGTGCCAATACTGGGGCTTGAACTCAAGGGCTTGGGACACTATCCCATAGCTTTTGTGCTCAAGGTCTGATGCTCTACCACTTGAGCCATAGCTCATGGGCTTTCCTGCCTGCCTGGCTTCAAACTGATTTTCAGATCTCAGCCTCCTGAGGAGCTAGGATTAAGGCCTGAGCCACGGGCGCTTGTGTGGCCCGCATTTAAGGATCTTAACTCATCCTGCCTAACCTGATCCAGGAAAGGCTGCATTAATTTGCCCTTGCAGTGGCAGGGACTCCGGTTTACACAGTTTCACGATGCTCCATCCTCTATAGGTGCCTGGGTTCTGCCCTGTTATTTACCAGGAGGAAATTCTGTTATGTTTGCGATGAATCCTGTATTTATTGGGACTTGTAATCTTGGTCGAGGCTAACACTGGGAGTGGACAGGAAAAAGGGGGACAGCTGCAGGCAGGGCTCCTAAAAGCTACCTGGTCTCTGGGTCCCTCCCCATCCCACCACCACTGGGCCTTGGTCGTTCTGGCACCGAGGTACCTGGCTCTTGGCTTAGGGCTGAGGACATGGGAGCCGTTTGGGATCCGAATCATTCCGCTATGAAGATGCCAGTGAGGGCCGAGATGGGGTGGGTGTGGGCAAGATGACTGCATTTCCTTCACAAGTGCCTTTTGTCCTCCCAGGAGCCTCCCCCCCTCCCCTCTCTCCCCCCCCTTTCTCTCTCTTCCTCTCTCTCTCCCCCCCCCCCTCTCTCTCTGGGGGTGGGGGGGAGGGGAACGTCGGTGTCTGGTGAGTTACTGGGGATGAGAGGTGACTGGGTCAGGATGCGCCGCATCCCAGAGCCCACCGAGTGTCCTGGTCTCCCGACCGCTTGGTGCCGCCCTCGGCCGCTGCCCCTCCCCCGAGGCGTGGCCCGTGGCTGGAGCTGGAGGCCAATGGGCTCCTTTCTCCCTGCGCTCCTCCCCGGCTCCCCGGGGCGGGCCGGGACTTGAGCCCGGGTCCAGCGCCTCCTTGTACAGTGCGCCTGGCAGACGGGCGCGCGGCGGCAGCGGGTGCACAGGTATGGCGGGGTGAGGGGTGGGGCACAGATACGGGGGAGGGCGGAGCTCGGTGGGGCCCAGACGCACGGGTACAGGGGTGCGCACTGGTATAGGTGCGTGCTCGCTGGGACGGGGGGCACAGGTACGGGGGTGCGCTCGCTGGGACGGGGCGCACAGGTACGGGGGTGCGCTCGCTGGGACGGGGCGCACAGGTACGGGGGTGCGCTCGCTGGGACGGGGCGCACAGGTACGGGGGTGCGCACATATATGGGGTGCGCTCGCTGGGACGGGGCGCACAGGTACGGGTGTGCGCACATATATGGGGTGCGCTCGCTGGGACGTGGCGCACAGGTATGGCGGGGTGGGGGGGTAGGGCACAGGTACGGGGGGAGGGCGGAGCTCGGTGGG